CTTTGTGCTTAATAAAAATTCCAAGCACCAAGGCTGTGACCAGTGAACAAGAAAGACCTACTGAGAGCAGGCCAATTCCTAGAGGTTCTTGATAAGACAAAAATGTGATTACTTTGGGGGTACATCGGTCTCTGCTCTCATTTGAGTAATGATCATCTGGGCATTGTAAACATTCATCCATGTCTGGAAAAATGAGAAGAAGCAATACTTTATCCAACACTGTGCCAATATTCTTGCATAATAACTCTGAATATACTGTTAAATTTGATGTTGCAGCTCTGGATGAGCTGCTATTTTTCAGCCTTGTACATTGTGCCTTAAGAGCCAATCCATTGTCTATAGATGGAACAAACCCTGCATACTGCACTTGGTGCTAGATATGAGAGCTGTCTGACACCACCAAGCTGAACAGAGCTGTGAATTGATGTCGGTCTTAAATACAGGGAAATAATTCTAACTGATTTCTGATGCAATATGTGAACCATGAAGTACAACAATGAGCACATAATGTGCATGCTGGAAAGTTTTCCTGCCACCATGTTTTCCTTCCATTAATCAGTCATGAGTTTTATTAAAGTTTATTTCGTTCAAACAACCATTTTCCAACTAGATTCTAAGTGAATAAAAATCTAAAAAGATTTCTCCTGTTTTCCCCCCAGCAACTGGTATTCAAAATCAGGATTTCTCTGGTTTTTTGAGCAGCTTATGACATCCTGAGTTGTAGCATTTATGGTGATCTTTTTTGAAGCTGTCCACCTCAGTTTTAATGCTCAGTTTGTACCGATCCTCATGCCTAATATCAGGGAAATCCATCATTTGACTTTGTTTTGCATGCAGGAACATTTGCTTTGGTCTTCATTCACATTAGGTTGAGTAAGTGATAGGAAGTGCAATTCAAGCTAGTCCACCTCTTCCCCACCCAAGTTTCCTCCAAAGCCTTCCCTTATGAACCATCTAAAAAAGAGGGAGAAAGTCGCAGGTGGAAATGTGTGTGGAACCCAGTAAGGGAGGAAGAATCAATCAGATGTGCTCGATTCAGCTGAGAGGACTCTGGCCTGCTGTCCCTCTGTCCTCAGTCTCCATTGCAACAGTGCAAGCAGAGTTCTCCTCCTGCACACAAGCCTTGCAGGCCTTGCTTACTTTGCACAAATTCAGTGCAAAGATGGGGCCCATGAGCATTCCTCATTCTTAACCAACCTTATCTCAGTTCACTTCCTAGGTCATGGCTGAGTGTGAGGAAGAAGACTGTTGAGTGCAAGAGAGCCAAATTTCACATACACGTTCATATCGCTTATTTCATGTATGTATCAATCATTGGGTCTGGATTAATCTCCTCTTCCCACAGTGGTTTATGTATAGTGTTCCCAGATGCAGGGGTATGACTCTACCAGCTAAGATGAAAGGAGCTGCAAATGGCTTGAATGGACAACCATAATTCTGAATTTTGCTGGTGGGCAAATACCAATTCACCTCCTTTTTGTTTTCTTAGTTATCTTTGTTGTTTCTACATTTGTGTGTGTGAGACAGAGAGAGAGGGAAAGGGAGTGAGAAAGAGAGTGAGAAAGGGAAGGGGAAGGGAGGGGGAGCAGGAAGAGTGAGTCTCTTTTTCTATATAATGAGGAAAAAATGCCTTCAATTGTGTGAAATATTCGAGGTATATGCACTCTTTCTCACTGAGTCACTCCCCCCCCCCACACACACACACGGACATGCCAACAGTTTTGAGCTAACAGTCTCCATTTCATGAAGGTTTTATGATTGCCTGCCCAAAATCTGGAATTTTAGATGCTCTCTGGCACGCACCTGTCCAGTTGGAAATCTTCCCTTCTGGACATGGGTCACAATCATAGCAGCAAGATTTCCTTCCTTCCTGCTTCCTCTTCTGAAAGCCCAAGTTGCAAGAGCTGGTGCAGACAGAAATGGGAAGGACCTATCCATTGCAAAATGATGAGAAATTGGAAGAGGAAACATAAGTGAGAGTTCATCAACTGAAATGCAAAAACTGGGTGAACATGTGACATGGGTGTGTGAGAACATGGTATAGCCCAGAATTTGGACCACAGGTTTCAGAATTTCCATCCAGCAGGGCCATGGACTGGCTTTCCTATGTGGTGCAGTCCAAACATGTCTGGAAGGCACAAATTGTGGGATGGCTGGTCTATGCAAATTATTGTATGGTCAAGTACACTTCTGAACAGGGCAAGAAATCTTTCTGCATCCCTTCTTTTTCTTTGTAGAATTGGGGAAAAACAGCATCACCTAACCAGACATCATGAAAGCAGTTCAACAACCTTCAAGGATGACTTTAGAATTCCTTCCAATTCCATTAAATTGAGTAATTTCCTCCTAATTTGCTTTTCTGGGAGCAGGAGGTGAGCACAGTGCTGGGGTTAGGACATGACAAAGACATGGTCAAGGGAGCAAGAGAAGTATGTGTTGGAAGGGGAAAGGACAAAGAGGAGAAAGTGTGGGAAGAAAATACCAAATGAAGGAAGGATGACGATGAAAAAGGAGTGTGGCTCAGTTCTCAAAGGAAAGCATGCATGGTAGGAAAAGAAGAGAATCCACCAGCAGGGACACAGTAAAGAAGAGAAGAAAAAAGAAAAGACAATATCCAAGCCACCCAAAACTGTGCACATGGATGCATGAACAGCAGAGAAATGTCCCTACATGGCTAAGAGGGTTAGTTACATTCTCCCAAGCTGAATGGGTTTTGCATTTCCATGAGAAGCAGCCATGGTGGATGGGTTTTCATGTATTCCAATAAAACATTCTATTGGATTCCATGAAAACCCTTTCCAATATTCAGTGCTGACTTCTAAAGTGGCTAATGACTCATCCCCCCATGGACTCAAACAAAAAACTGTAGTTGAAATATATGCACTGAGTTGGCAGTGATTCATGATTAAATTAAAATGCACACGCATGGAAAATGTGAATTGAGAAAAGCAATCTTAATAAAAATGTGAACAAACATGTTTTTGTCAAGGGAAGATAGACCTATCTACCTACCTACCTACCTACCTACCTATGATTTCATGTCAAAAATACACTAAAGCTTATGGTATAGTGTTCAGATTGGAACAAAACATTGCAGTGGATTCCTTCAGGGATTCTGAACACTGCACACCTGGTTAAAGGTTCTCCGCAACTCCATCACATCTTCATGGATGATAAATTGTTTTCCATCAACTGCATTTGAATCCACACTCCCAACTTTCACTCTGACAAAGGAGTTGTTGGGGAACAGAAGTATGTTAGTGACATCAAATCCAGCAACTATCTCACCATGCTGATTAAAAAACACCTCCTCTCCAGCTGAAGTATTAAATGAAATGCCCTGAAGGAATGGGTGCAGCTAGCGAGTAGAGGAAAAAGAACCATAAGGTTATTGTGTTGGCCATCTTTCTATGAGAAATGGAAATACAATCTATTCATCTTAATTTCTTCTGTATCATGGAAAGGAAGGAAAAGGAAAGGAACAAGCAGATATCCTTTCAAATATGAAGAATTTTGCAATTATTGGTAAATGCTTAACTAAAATCTGCCAGCCCAACAAATGGAAATAAAGTTCTTATCGCTCCACTCAAATCACTTTGTCATATTTTCATTGAACACTTCAAGTCATGGGCACTTTACCCAGGTCCTGGTACCCAGTAACACATTCCCGTTGCTAGACTCACATGGGTGATACGCTCATTCCCTATATTGGGTTTTCGGTCACTGGTTCACCACTACATTTCACAGTTTCTCCTCATACATGGAATGTTAGCTCCCTCATCAACCTTCTCCCTTATATAGCTCTCAGGTGCTTTCTCCATACTCAGAAAAGCCAGTTTAAATGCAAGGGTAGCTGTAGCTCTGCTAATAGTGCATAGTTTTGATGGAATTAAAATCAGTGTAAATGAAAACACACATCTAAATGTGTGTTTTCTATTTAAAGGAAAGGAAAACAACCAATGGATCAGTAGGGAGGGCAATGAAGTGTGCCTGGATAATTTCAGTTTTATGTGTTTGCCTTACCATGTACTACACCATGTTTTAGATTTTTGTAATGGAAGTGCTTTGTGAGCTTCTCTCTAAATGTAGGTATTTTGGATTGTGTTTGTGTTTAGGAAGTAAAAAGCAAAATGCAAAATAAAGTATGTTTCTGTGCAAGCACAACACGTATGCACACACACTTTGTTAATGATTAAATCTTGAATTATCTGCATAAAGGATCTTGGAAATACTGAGCTATGCATTATTTTTATTGCCCATTTCTAAATTTGGCCTGAATTTACATATAGGCTTAAAGTTGTCCTCGAGGAGAATATTGGCTTTACCTTTGGCATCCAACTTTTCCGGCACCATGTAACTTGTTAGGGTGACTTCCACTAACCTTCTCTACTTCATTACCCCATTAATACAAATTGGTAGAAATCCACAGATTTATAGTGCTTAAATGGATTTATCCGATTTAGGACTGAATAGGTACATTATGGTGTGAAATTTAAGTTTGGAAGAGACAGAAGCATCAATGCCTCTGCTGTCCAGGTGAAAAAATCAACAAAATATTCTTGATGTAGTGATTCATGAGATGACACCACCTCACAAGTTTCTGAATTCCTAGCCTCAAGCACAATACTCCATCTGAAATGCCATGGATGGATTTCTTCTGAGTATAGTTTCAATTCACTCAGCAGAAGCTTTCCCATCACTAAGGCTAGAAACATATTGAACACTGACTGTATGTTAATGTAATGAGTCCAGGGGTTGTCAATGCTTCTACTGTATGTACCATTACAAAGAGAAGCATGGCAGTCAATGTATGGGACTGGGAATTCTTCAAGGTTCCATGTTCCACACTAAACCATTCC